TGGTTTACAGGAGATGAGAAGAGGGAGCAGCAAGGCAAAGCTGCTTCCTGCTTCTCATGCCAAGAACTCAGAAAGTGGGCTGCACTGCTCTCTGATGCTTGGCTCCTGGTACCGAGCAGCCAAGTGAAGGGAGTGGTGCCGCAAAGCTTCTGTCTGCTTCTGATACTGGGAACTGGTGTAAGAAGCATCAGGGGAGCAGCTGGTAGCTGATCCTTCCTCCCTTCATGATCTATGGGGCAGGTGAGAGCAGCTGCCCCCTGTGCCTTCTCTAGATTAGTGACCCTGGTCTCAAGAAGGCACTGGAACCTTTCCTTTGGCTCCTGATCCCAAGAGAAGTTAAGCCAGGGGAAAGCGTGTAGACATTTAATCTCACAGAAGAAACTCTCTCAGGAGTGATTTAACCTTGGCGTCTCCAGGAAAAAGAGCTTGAATGTCTGCATACTTGTGGTGTTTACTAGGAAAACAGTGATTCTCCTGGTAAAAACTGAACATTTGTACATAGCCTCTGATAAATCCTTGTTATACTTGAAGAATATACAACACATGGTTTACATTAATGTTGGTTATTAGATGTCTTGGAATGATTTAATTTACTTGTTAAACATCTGTCACAGGTGATATCCTTTCAAAGAGGATCAGCACTCTCATTTCCATTAGTACATCAAACTAAAGTTGTGTTTGAAATATGTTCCTTCTTATAGGGTTTTTACAGCAATTGCATACGGTGCAGTGGCAGTAGGTGAGACATTGACCTTTGTACCTGACTATGCCAAAGCCAAATCTGGGGCTGCGCACCTGTTTGCTCTGTTCGAAAGGACTCCAGCCATTGATAGCTACAGTGAAGAAGGAGATAAACCAGTGAGTGGAACTTCAATTTTAAATAAAAACCTACACCTCCTTGTTGCAAGAAAGTACCTCACCTTGTTGATGCCTTTGCTTAAAATAAAGAAAGTGAAAGCCTGGAAGCATGGGCATTTGAGCTTATGGCCATTTGACAGGCCTCTTACCATGCATTGTCTCAGTGCTATTGTTATGATTAATTATTTCTATTGCAGCATGGCTCAGAATTTGCTGTCATCTAATAATGGTGCCTGGCCAAGTAGCCTGTTAGTAACTGATTAGACCTCTTCCAAACTGTATACTTAGCAAGTATATAAAGCTTTGTGTTCCTCTTACTATCACTGGGTGCATCTACACATGCAATTATGGTGCCTGAATGACTGCAAAGCTTAATGCGCTATAGTTAATTGCTCCCGGGCACGCTCTTTGAAAGTGCGACCAGGATCAATTAATTCTGGAGCAGTAAGCTCCTCAGTTTATTCAGGTGCAGCATGTGGAGTCCAGGCAGAGTAGCCCCAGCTGGCAAAGAGCCCTGGGGGTCAGCCTGTCAGCCTGGGGCTGCTCCCCCCAGCTCAGTGTGCTGCGGAGGAGCTGGCTGGGGAATAAGGGGGCTTCGGTGTGTAGCTAGCCAGCAGACAGCCCTCACACTGAAGCACCCTTGTGCCCCAGTCAGCCAGGCAGTCTCACACATGTGCTTCTGCAGAGTTTTTCAATCTGCAGCAGGATAGTACTTGTATTTATTAATCAGTTTACTCCAGCCCAATGGAGGCACACATGTAGACTAGACACCAAGACTTTTAGTGCACAGCTGATTAGTGCAGTAAATGTCTTGTGTAGATGTGCACACTGTTGTTTTTCTCACCTCCCTTTCTTATGTTCTCCTCCCATCTATCCTGCAGCATCTTCTATTTAGGCTAGGACACTGCACCTTGTTTCATATTTATGCTGCTGCTTCCTACCTCCAGCATGCACAAAACAAGTTGTAGTATTTTAAGTCCTTAGGGGAAAGGAATATCTAGTGATTATGCCATACCCAACAAAAAAAAACACTTGATCCTAATGGTGGCTGCCTGGTTGATGCTGTAATACAAATGAGCTGCACTCATTGACACAATAAATTTACAATCTGTAAAGACAAAAATCAGAAAAAGGCAACATGGTCAAAGTGCAATTTTCACTGTACATTAAGACCCCTTTCTCACCCTTTGGTTTTGTTAGTAATCACAGGGCAAGTGGAACAGAGCTAAATAAAACTTTTGACTAGAGATGGATAGAATCATAGAAAATTAGGGTTGGAAGGGACCTCAGGAGATCATCTAGTCCAACCCCCTGCTCAAAGCAGGACCATCCCCAACTAGATCATCCCACGCAGTGCTTCATCTAACCAGGTCCTAAAAACCTCCAAGGATAGAGATTCCACAACCTCTCTGGGTAAACTGTTCCAGTCTTTTTTGACCCTCCTAGTGAGAAAATTCTTCCTAATATCTAACCTAAACTTCCCTTGCTGCAACTTGAGACCATTGCTTCTTGTTGTCATCTACCACCACAGGGAACAGTTTAACTCCATCCTCTTTTGAACCCCCCTTCAGATAGTTGAAGGCTGGTATTAAATCCCCTCTGTCTTCTCTTCTCATAAGACATGTGCCCCAGCCCCCACACAATTTCTTTTTGCTCTCCGCTACACTCTCCAATTCGTCCACATCCTTTCTGTAGTGTGGGGCCCAAAATGGAACACCATACTCCAGATGTGGCCTCAACAATACTGAATAGAGGGAAATAATCACTTCCCTTGACCTGCTAGCAACACACCTACCAATGCAGTCCAGTATGTTGTTAGCTTTCTTTGCAACAAGGGCACACTGCTGGCTCATATTCAGCTTATTATCCACTATAACCTCCAAGTCTTTTTCTGCAGAGCTGCTGCCCAGCCAGTCAGCTTCCAGCCTGTACGGGTACATGGGATTGTTCCATCTTAAGTGCAGAACTTTGCATTCGTCCTTGTTGAACCTCATGAGATTCCTTTTGGCCCAATCCTCCAATTTGTCTAGGTCACTCTGAACCATAGCCCTACCCTCCAGTGTATCTATTACTCCCTTCAGCTTGGTGTCATCGGCAAACTTGCTGATGGCGCACTCTATGCCATCTTCCAGGTTGTTGATGAAGATATTGAACAAAACCAGCCCCAGGACCAACCCTTGGGGCACTCCACTTGATACTGGCTACCAACTAAGTATTGAGTCATTGATTACTACCCTCTGAGCCCAATTATCCAGCCAGTTTTCTATCTACTTTACACTCCATTCATCGAGCCCATACTTTCTTAGCTTGGCTGTGAGAATATTATAGGAAACTAGCAAAAAACTTGGCAAAATCAAAGTGCCCTGTGACACTTGTTCTTTCACCATGTTGCTGCTCAAGTCCTCCCCAAACTCTGCTGCCCAGTGCAGTAGTCTGGGAGCTGACCTTGCCTTCGAAGACAGAGGCGAACAAGGCATTGACCACTTCAGCCTTTTCTGCATCCTCTATCACAAGGTTGCCTCCCCTATTCAGTAAGGAACCCACACTTTTCCTGATCTTCCTCTTGCTACTGACATACTTGTAGAAACCCTTCTTATTACTTGTAAAAACCCTTCACATCCCTTCCTAGCTGCAACTCAAGTTGAGCTTTGGCCTTCCTGATTTCATCCCTGCATGCTCAAGCAATGCTCTAATACTCCTCCCTAGTTATGTGTCCTAGTTTCCACTTATTAAGCTTCCTTTTTGTGATTTAGTTTACTGAAGAATTCCTGTTAAACCAACCTGGTCTTCTGCTATACTTGTTAGTCCTTCTGTGCATTGGGATAGTGTTTCTGCACTCTCAGTAAGGCTTCTTTAAAGCTTTATTGAGTATCACTGTGCTTTAATATGATTTCAGTGAAAGTATTGTCAATAATTACAGCTATGCATTTGGACCATAAAGGAGTCACAGGGATGTTTGGGGTCCTTTTTTTTTTAAATCACAAGTCTTTCAGAACTCTTAAGAAGTTAGTCTATCAATATGTTGTATTTGCATGTTTTAAAAATGTTTAGTTCTGCACAGACATAAGACATTACTGCGCAGGGAGATGGAAATCAGCTGGTACCATTGTTTTCCATACCAAGGCTGAACAACTTCTTTTCCTGGAAGTCTTAAGCATATAGTCCAAAACCTAAAATTAAAGATTGAGTGTAGTAGAATAAAATTGAAGAAGTTAATAAGTATTATTCGGAACCGTTAGTCACCATTACACCCACACCGGTATTTCAAGGACATTTTAGAAATCTTTTGGTGAACATAATACAGCATGGCATCTGAATACAAGAAGGACATTTTAGAGTATGTATCTATAATATATGTTTAAATTAACTTACTATTTCAAAGGCTTAGATGGATTTACTCATTCAGATTTATTATGCATGTGATGTGATGTTACCAATCTGTTCTCACAGGACACATTCAGTGGAAGGTTAGAATTCCATGAAGTCACTTTCATTTATCCAACTCGCCCAGATGTTCCCATCCTGCAGGATTTGTCTCTTACAATTGAACGGGGACAGACTGTGGCATTTGTTGGAAGCAGTGGATGTGGGAAAAGCACTTCTGTTCAGCTCCTGCAGAGGTTTTATGACCCTCTGAAAGGGCAAGTGGTAAGATTAGATTTTGATAATGCCTATGCTAGTGATTTTATTACTGTTTTCTAATGACATGTTCCTACTTAAGTTTTATTGCTATTTTAAAAGGCCCAGTGACAGAGCTGCTAGGATGCCAAGAGGGAGGCCTGATCTTATATTGATTCTGTATCTACAGAACATAGCATGTCATTCAGGTTTAGTGACTATGGGTATTTGTACATGACACAGGGGTTTAATTCTCCCTAAATTGAAGCGGTGGTTTTTAAAAACACTGCTTCAATTTAGGGTGAAATAAACCCTTGTGTCATGTACACCCGTGTCCTTATCTGCCTCTCTGGCAGCAGGGAGCAGAAAGTGAGCTGCCAGCAGGCTGAGTGGTCCCTGAGCTGCGGCGGGGGGGCTGGTGCTTCCCTTCGTGGCAGCGGCGACCTCCCCCACAGACAGAACCCACCCACAGGAACCCGGCTCGGGCGGTCCCGTGAGGCATCGCAGCTGTGGAGGGAAGCACCAGGCAGGCAGGAGGGAAGCAGCTCAGGCAGACAGGCAGGCAGGCTCCAGGGAAGGAAAAGAAAAAAAAAAACAGGTTCACGGCAGGTTTTTTTTTCTCCTTCAGTGCAGCCTGCCTTCCTGGGCTTTTGGCGGGCTGCCTGCAGAGCCCCTGAGCCTCACAGGGCCAGGTGATTCCCTCCATGGCTGGAAGCTAGCAAACTAAAACTCCTCAGAGGTGTTATAGTTTGTGCCCCAAAGTAATTTACTGTGCCCCAAAGTCATTTAAAGCGCATTACGCCGCTGAATTTGCTATGGCGGCTAAAATTAACATGCACTATACTGCCAAATTTGCAAACTTGTGCAAACAGCAAAGCCATTAAAACAGTGCAAAAGGGCATTTAACCCACTTTAATGTGTTGCCTACACATGCCCTATAATGCTTATTTACCCCAGTTACAGCCGGAGCAAAGGAGCAAGTTTTAAGTTAGTCTATTGCTTCTTCTTTGGGGATTTCTCACTGTTAGAATCAGTATCATGCACAACAACTCTCTTTTGTAAGAAGGTATTTCCAGCAACTGGTCCAGAAATACCAATAGTATTTTTTTTAAACTTTGTTTAGTCATAGCCACTGCTGTGGTTGTATATTACTGACTTTATGAAATTTCATTTTGCTGGTCTCAAAAAAATGGGTGTGATTTTTTTCCTTTCCCAGATTTATTTTTTTTTCCAAGAAATGCTGTGCAAATAGAAATAAGAAAGCCTCTTTGGTCTAGACCCTCAACTAGTAAATCAATATAGTTCCACAGAGGTCAGTAGAGCTTTGTCATTTTATATAAGATGAGGGTCTGGACCATGAGATTTAATCAGTTTACTGGGGTTAATCAAGTTCTAAGGGGGGAAAAAATCTACAAAATTTAAATGGGAACCTCTCAGTAGGTTACTTTAAGTATATACTCATTTTCCAAACCTATGGAGAATGACTACAGGCTACGGTATAGGTCTCAAAAAAAACAAAAAAACCCCCCAAAAAAACAGTGCCTTGATCTTGATTTGAGTAGAATTGTAAGAGAAAAAAGAGTAAAACACCTGATTCTATCACAGGAACCCTGAACTCTGGCTCCACCCTTTTGGAAACGCACAAATGGAAAATGTTTTATTATTCTACCCCACAAATGTATAGAAGCAATTTGGGTTTGTCACATTTCTTGATTAAGCTCTCTGGCATTTAACTAAATCCCTTGCCTATAGAAGAAATCTATGCTGGTTTGGGAGGGAGAGAGGAAGGAAGGAACTGATATAATTAAACAGGTACAGATTCCTATGAAATACCCTTATTTAGTTTAAGAATGGCTTACTGCAGTTAAATTTTAACCCATCCACAATTGGTTCAAACTAACAGCCATGGTCTGCTGTCTAACCCTGCTGAATGATGAGGGAAAAAATGCACTTTACCAGAAGGAACAACATATTAGTTCGACCTGGCCCACCAACAAAACAAACCAGCACTTTACTTTAAACTCTGAGTGCCCCCGCACTGAACCCAGCGCATGTCCAGAAGAGGCATCACATTAGTTGGACCTGGCTCACCCAACTTCTATACAGTTTAGGTGCTTCAATGGGGCTTCTCAGTGCTTTTATCTAAAGCTGATTCAATCAGTTACTAAATAAAAATTCCAAAAAATCCCTGCTAAAGCACTCAATCTATACAAAAGTTGGGTGAGCTGGGTCCAGATAACGCAATGCCTCTTCTGGTCATGCGCTGGTTTCAGTGTGGGGGCACTCAGATTTTAAAATAAAGCACCAGTTTATTTTGTTTTTCTGATGCTTGTAAGCAGCTAGAGTGTATCATGAGAGAGGTAGTCCAACCTTGGAGTCTGTCCCATAGAGGTCAAATCATCCCTATGTTAAAACTCCCATGAGGCAGTGCAGCATCGTAGGCAGATGCAGTGTCTCAAAGCTTACGTGAAAGAAAACATTTCTGATTCAGAGCCTTTCATTCAATGAAAAAGTGTTGATATTTAACTTTTCTTATGGATATAGGTTGAAAACAGATGTTGAAATAATGTAATTTCCTGGAGGGTAGAAATTCCAGTTTTTGCTTAGCTCTCATCAGAACCAATGCTGTAAAAACCAATATGATGATCAGCATATTCAGTAGAGTCAAGATCTGAGAAGTTCATTGCTGCCAGATCAAGGTAATATGAGTAGGTGAAGATGACACAACAAAAACTATGAAAATGGTTAATAGCAATGAATAGTTCCTCCCTCTAGAAATCTTTCTTGGAGACAGGGAAGAATGCTTCCACTGCTTCAACAGTTTTTGTAGTTCTTGTGGTGATGATTTTTGCATTTGTGAATAAAGTCTGACTGAAAAAGATGATAGAAGCCCAATCTTGACATTTGTTGTTGTTGGCAGCTATTTGATAGCACTGATGTGAAGCATTTGAATGTACAGTGGCTACGCTCTCAAATAGGAATAGTATCCCAAGAGCCAGTGCTCTTTGATTGCAGCATTGCTGAAAATATTGCCTATGGAGATAACAATCGGACTGTGCCAATGGATGAGATAATAGCAGCAGCAAAAGCAGCAAATATCCATATTTTTATAGAAGAACTCCCCGAGGTAATCAAGTGACTGAACACGTTAAAGTAAAGAAAAGTTTGATGGTTTTGTTTTGTGATATTGTGACCTTCAGTAATTTACAGCATCACAAAATCAGGAGTGTTTGATTTTATGTTCAAATGCTACTTGTTTTATTAAGTGGTGTGAATTACTCCATGAGATTTTCTCCATCAATGGTACACCAATAGCTAAGACCTGGTGAGAACAAGAGGATTCAGTATTGTAGTTTCACCTGGGGCTATATTCTCCAAAGGAAAAGGTGCAGCAAATGCACTTCTGCTGTATTCCCCACTCAACCTTGTGTTTGCCTGTGGCAGTGCACCCTGGAGTCGTTACAGAGATGATAAGCTTCTGCATTCCTTTCCTACTAAGACCATGCTCTGAGTCACAATGGGCAATACAACAGTAACCAAAAATAGACTTTCTACTCTTCTTCCAACACAAAATTTACACAAGAGAAAAATAGAAATAGATTTTTAAGTGCATCTCTACCCGCGTGTAATTTAAACATTAACCTCTTGCTTTTAATAACAGAAATACAACACACGAGTTGGAGATAAAGGAACGCAGCTCTCTGGTGGCCAGAAACAACGAATAGCCATTGCAAGGGCTCTTATCCGACAACCAAAAATGTTGTTGTTAGATGAAGCCACTTCAGCACTTGACAATGAAAGTGAAAAGGTAACAATCTATATGTAATAAAAATGTATAGGAATATATGTCAGCTCTTTAGAAATGAATCCAAATACTAAGAAAGGGGCAAAGGTCTCCCAATTTATGCTCATGCAGTCTTTAGTCTGAAATATGACTGGGGCTGCTTCATCCTGTATCAGAGACCTAAGTAGGCAGTTTTCAGAGGGCCAAGCAGGGATCATAGTATCCACTGCCCCCTCTGGAATATTTTCCTTTTTCTTCATGATGCAGTGGTAGTTGCAGTGATGTTGGCATATAGTTAAAAGGGACACATGCATATAAGGCAGCACATGCAAACTTTTCAGTATGTTTCAGTTTGTAAATAGGCATTATGAAAAACTCAAATCTTTTGCATTTATCTAGGCTCATCTTCTGCTTTGTGAACACTTGAGTTTTACAATTCTTCTTCCTCTCTTTTCACCTTCAGACTGTCTTATATTTTGTAAGGTCTCTCCAGTCTGATGCAATCATACAATGCCTTTTAACTTGCTAAATTCAGACACTTTCATAGCGGTGTCCACTATTTTTATAGTTCTTTTTCCTTGAAAAAAGAGAATTGCGGCTGTACTTGCACAAGCTGTCAGGGCATAAGATTTTATTATGAACCAAAGAAATTTCTGAGCAGTATTTTTTTAATACCACTCTAGGACTTGCTGATGATTGCTTGTATTTAAGTGGAAGTGAGCAACCATTTCACTGCTTAATGTCCTTAGTTGCATTGAGTAACACCTTGTTCGACCGGTAGCTTTGCTGAAATCACTGGTGATGTATGTAGCCCTACGGGTCTATGAAAGATCAGTCCTATGTTTTACACAAGAGCAGCTAGGGTGAAATGCTGTTCTGATTTAACTCAGTGGCAAAACTCTCATTGATTTTAAATAGGCAAGGTTTTTACTGTTCATATTAAGTTATAAAGCACAGGACCAAGGATGAAAAAAAATCTATTACATTTGCCCATGTTAAAGCAGACTCAAAAATAACCCCATTAAATCACTGATTTAGAACCTGCATGCAGAGAGGAAAAACAAATGCTACCAGTGCCACTGAGGGAACATACAATCAATACAACTGTAGACTCCCTCTGCCTAAAGAAGGGTGTTTATACCCAAAAGCTTAGAAAGAACAAATTTTCCAACTATTTAGTTGGCCTAATAAAAGATATCGCATTTACCCAAAGAACCTTGTATGTCACTGAGGGAACTGAATTTTATTCTATCCATTTAACAATTTTAAACTATGGTCCTCAATACATTTTAGGTGTTTTTGTTTGGTTTATTCCAGAACCACACTATGTTCTAATTTAAAATTGTTCTGACCAACTATAACATTGTCACAACACAAACTTTTTGACACATTTTAAATGTGGTTTTGTGTGTGAAGTTAGAACTAATTTTTTTTTATTTTAACAGCATTTCGTGAAATGTCTGTACTCAATGATGATACACATGCACCCCCTGAGAGCACTGGTGCACCCCCTGACAGCAGCGTTCCTGGGCAGGGGGTGGGCAGGTGAGAGTGGTGGTGCCCCTCCTGAGAGCACCGGCCGGGGAGTGTGCCAGGAGAAGCGGTCCCTCTGTGGCTGATCCCGCTGACTCAGAAGTGCCAGCGGCACACCCGGCCTGCGGGATCAGCTGCAGGGGGACACCCCCACCCCAGTCTCTGACTGTTTGCTGGGGGGGGGTGGGGAGTGTCCCCCCCGACTCAGGAGGTACCAGTCACCCATGTCTGTACTTACTTATCCACTTGGGAAATTGCACTAGTAAATTGCCTTGTGTAAACAGTCTTATTCTGCTCTTCCAGAATAATAGTGTCTACACAGGGAATTATAATTCTGCTAATAAATTCCCCCAGGTAGAAAAGCTGTTAAGGCTTTGGCAATAAGAAAATTCAGACTTTGAATTCAGAGTTGACAACAGGTGGTAGAAATTGTTAAATTTTTGTGTAGAAAGGATGCAGCCCACCACGCAATTTCACCTTTTTTCAGGTTAGACATGGATAACATGGGCTAAGAAAGCTTATGATCTGCAGATTTCACTCATAAAGTGCATTGTTAGTGCACTTGTTGGTAAATTATTTAATGTTGCCAGTATAGGGTTAAAAATTTTGAAATTGATATTAAAGTAGGGTCCATAATGTTTTCTGTATTTTTCTGTAGGTGGTACAACAAGCCCTTGATCAGGCACGGAAAGGAAGGACCTGCATTGTGATTGCTCACCGACTGTCAACCATACAGAATGCAGATATCATTGTTGTAATTAACAATGGAAAAATAATAGAATCAGGAACTCATCACCAGCTAATGGCAAAGCAGAAAGCATATTTTAATTTAGTAAATGCACAAACACTTCTCTAAAACAAGGATGGCCTGAAGCCATCTTTAGAAATGAGATGTCAGGAAAAAAAAAAGTACTGTCATGTGTGGTCTGACGTTGTGGTTTTACAGGTAACTTTCTTCACACGCTGTTCTGCTGGGGACTTGGAACTGGCAGCCTACTTGCAGTGCTTAGCTCAGAATGCCAAGATACACCTACAATACTGAACTGAATAGGAACATGTAAAACATCTATTTCTCACATCAATTTATGATCAGTATTTAACTCAAGTGGTTTTTTTCTGATCCTTTTCCCTCTTCCATAGGCCATATAACTGAATGCTTACTACTGTGTTAGCACTGACAGATACAATGGTCTTGATGTATTATCTTGAACTGATGTTAAATTTTTCCCTTTATTTTTATAGAAGATGGTTTGAATAATAAATTTAAATTGACCTGTTTGCTACAATTGAAAATAATGTTGGGCATTCCCTTAAAACTCAGACAACCCTCCCCTTGAACAATGTTTAGATCCAGATTAAAGTTTTATTACTCAACCCACCCCATATTTCAGTTATTTACTTAATCCCTTCACCTTTTTAAGTCCAGTTTAATTTTTTTACAGAAGCCCCCCTAATATCAATTTAAGATTTAGAATTCTAACATCAGTTCAAGATGATATATGAAGACCATTGTATCTGTCAGTGCTAACACAGCAGTAACTGCCCTAACACAAAAGTAACTGTCCTGTTGTATGCCTTATGGAAGAGGGGAAGGGATCAGAATAACCATTTGAGTACAATACTGATCATGAAGTGATTACAGAATCCCCTTCAGGGAGTTTCCTACATCTATGAATAACTCACTGAATGTTGACGTCTGAGTCCCAGTGTTCCTATATGAAAAACTGAGTTAATGCTACTTTTTCAAATTTGCATATTGCTCTAAGACCCACAAAGGAAAAGTGCTAGCAGCCAGCAAATGGGCTGTCCAGTAGTTATCATTAAAAGTTAGGCTGTGAAGAGAAGCCCAAGGGTTGTGAAAACATTTTCCTGAATTTTGTGGAAAATCTGCAATTGCCTGTTTTGTTAATAAAACCATGCATTCAAATAGCTAGGAATCTAATGTGTGCACATACGCACACACTGTGGTAACTTCAAGAATGCTTATAAGTATGTAACTGTGTATGCAGACTCAGGTGTTTAAAGACAACTTATAAAGAGGTCTTTTTTCCTTCTGGGCAACTTTTTTTACCAGTGATGGTTACCTTTTTATAATCAGTTGAAACTTCTGTGTTCAAGTTTTCTTTCATTCGCATCATGACTATAGTGGTTCTGATGAAGGGCTCTGTCAGTGTTCACTAGAGAACACTACTGGAAACTTTCTCAGCTCCTACCTGTAGATAAAAGGGCATTGCATCTTGCAACTAAGAGATTTTTTTCCCAATTTTTTGATGAGAATGTACATTTTTTTAAAGTGTAATTTTTTTTCTTCCCAGTTGCTTAGATTTGTCTCCTGTAATGCTATAAATTCTGCTGTCTCCTGTCCTCAAAGGAATTTTCCAGTAGTAAAAAAATGTTTATAATTTTGAATTTTTCCCCCCCTTTTAGCAGGTCCCTTTAAGTTTGTGATGCTGTTAAAATGCCACTTCCAAGAGTCACTTTGTAATTAATCAAGTTACTTACAGCTCTGTTGGAAAGTAGACTTGGAATCAGAAACTCATTTTCAAAGTTGGCAAAGGGCTAAAAGTTGTCTTTAAAACTCTTAAGGCTAAATCCTCTCATAATCTGTGCATCCTTTCCAAATGTAGTGCAAGATTGGCTACAGTACTTGGGTAATGATACGTGGGACACTTCCAACCTGTGTGCGCCAAATGCACCACTCAGAATTGGCAAAGTTGCTCTCTCAAAGGTCTTAGCCTGAACTATAATTAATTCAGATCTACTGTAAAGCTCAGCCTAAATTAGACCGATCCCACTGGAAGATTTCTGTCTACCTGTAGATGGAGTGACTAAAGAAGCAGCTACACCTTCCACTAGTGTAATTAGTATAGCATATTAGTATATTAACATGTCCTTAAATTATATTATTTTAGAATGCAAAACAATACAGATATTTTAGTTACGTTTAAAATGCAGATATTGGCTTTCAAAAACAATATGGATTAAAGGAACTTCATTGTGAGTGATGTGACTTGGGTCACCGCTTTTTGGGGACTTGTCTGTTCTCCACCCCACCTTCTTGCTTACCTGCCGAGACTCGTTATTCATATTTTTCTTGGGCAGGTTTGCTGGTTCTACAGAGTGAAGGTCTGTTTTGCTAGACAGTGTATTCTTTTGAAAGGCTCCACCTACCCTACACAATGCCCCTTTTCTCTCAAGTCCATGGTGTGACTCACACTGGTCCCACATTCGTGATTCTACTTCCATGGGCGGCCATGGCCACCATCTGGGGAAGGCTGCTGGACTCCTCCACAAGCAGAATGCAGAGTCCCAGGGCTAATAACTCTCAACTTTTAATATTTAACTCCTGAGAAGGAGGAAGTATAGTCCTAGCTTTGACTCGGGATGCACCAGTATATTCTCCAGCTCCTTCATGAGTGAACATCTATGAATTCTCCCTGTTCCTTGTTCCTCAATTACCTTTATAAATCCATTCATTTATTTCCCCAAAATAAGCATCTATGAGTTCATTCACTTATTTCTCAATTCATTATATAAATTCATTCATTCTACATTTCTAAATTAATCCCCAATGAATTCAGTCCCTTCCTAAGCAGTAGTAAATTTATCACTATATATCTATAATTGCAGTTCATTCACCAGATGCCTTGAGACCTGGCACTCATTTCCGCCCATCCCTAGCACTGCTATATCGTCTCTTATTATCCCAGTAGCCCACTTTACTTATCTTTTCATTCAGCACTCAGCCTACTCAGGTTCTGGTCTTCCTTCCCTGGATCTTCCCAACTCAGCTGTCTGAACATCTGAGTCGCATGTCCCCACATGTGTTGTACAGCTCATTGGCTCTGCTGTACTTTTCCCACTCCGGGGGAAACCCAACAGGCTCTCCCATTTCTGCCGTGCCAGCATTCCAGGGCCAATGAGGGCTTGCACCCCCTGGCACATGACTACATGCCACCAAAAGTCTGTCCCCTTCCTGGGGTTTTCTCCCAAACCCTTTTCCCTGACTCCATTAGGTTCCACTGGATAAGTTTGTTTCTGGCTTGGCCAGTTCCTACTGTCTGTAACAGAGGCTGAAGGCAAGCCCCTGCTACATTCATGAAAACCATAAACCAACAATTATTTGGGCATTTTGACAGATGTGCCATATTGTCATACATATTACACCTTACATTAACAGACTTCAGTGTGTGACACTTTCCTGTACACTGCAAAAAATATACAGTGGTATTATATATTATGTATTTATATTACTCAGAACCACTGTTTAGAAGATAAGATGCCTCTTGGAAATATAGCTCTGTGAATAAACGAGAATTTTTTTTAAACTTTTTTGTTTTCTATTATGTATGAGACTGCAGACTTCTGAAAGTCTGTTCTGTGGTTTGTTCTGTAGTTTGTACAGCTCCTAGCAGAATGAAATCATGATCTTGTGGCTGTGGGGCCTAGGCATCACTGCAGTACAAAAAATATTAGAGGGTGGTATTCCTTCATTTTTTTCAATTAAATTAACTAGTTTGATTAGAAATGTAACCAAATTAGGTAAGGTTATGTAAGTTTGCACATACACAATTTTATTTTAGATTCTGAGTGTTTGGTGTAGTTCTAGCTGAAATGGATTCTTTTAGATTAGCTACTTAATATAAACCAAAAGAATAAATACACCTAGCATGAAATGAGTTTGGTTTATACAGGAGTTAAACTAAACCTGTAGACCACTGGTGCCCAACCTTTTGCCCTTTGGGCTGGATTGGCAGTGCTGCTTCATCTATGCATGGGCACCTGGTGCCTCCTGAGTTGTGGGGGAATGTGCCCCCCCAGCGACCAGTCAGCAATTGCGGGGGAGGGTCCCCACACGGCCAATCTTGCTGACCAGGGGGGATCCCCTCCACAGCCGATTGCACTGACAGGGGGGCATACCCTCACAGCCAAGCACACTGACTGGGATGCACAAGCAGGGCACCTGGAAGTGCCAGCAGTGCTTCTCCTGGCACTCCCACTCCCCAGCCAGTGCTCCCACCTGCCCATAGCCTAAGAGAGGAGTGCTGGCTGTCAGGGGGTGCACCAGCACTCTCAGGGGGTGTATATGCACTCCCATGCACCTGCTACATGGTGCCACTGCATCCATGGGCCAAATTCAGTGTGCAGGGCGAACATGGCAGGTCCCAATCTGTCCACACAGGGCTTGGAAATTTGGCAGTGGTAGGAGGGGTTCAGTATTAATTGCCACTTCCCCCTCCCCCACTTTCCCTTCTGCCAAATTTCTCAGCCCATGGGGAGCTCCATGAGCTGGATGCTATAGGTCCATGGGCCAGGGGTTGAGCACTCCTGCTGTAGAGAAGCACAAATCTAATCTGTTTCATAAGTAAAGATTCAGTGTTCTCTTCCTGCATTTGGTAAACAGGTAGCCTGCAACAATAACTCTGAGAAGTTTGAACTGTCTTGGACAACATGACAATAAAAACACTGGGAATCCATATACCACATTCCTAACTTGACTGTAGCAGTAGTGCTGCACTGATAGAAAAGCTTACTAGGGGAAAAGCCTATGCTGACTTTTCATGTAATAAGAGCTGTTTGACCATCCCAAGGAAAATGGAAGTCTCTTCATTCTATGGTTACCAATTTTTATTGCATATAATTGCCCAGAATAAAATACACATCTTGTTCTTGAAAGGCAGAATGAAGAAAAAAGAACTCCCTCTGTAGTAACTAAGTGCATCTACACTTGTGTTTTAAAGTTGACTAATTAGCTCCACAGTAAAGCATCACCATCTACATGTGCACCCATATTATGGTGCAATAAATTAACTCTGCTGTAGGATTGTGCTGTCCGGGACAAGTACTATCCTATGGCAGAGTAATTTACACTGCTGCAATGCATGTGTAGACAGTGACCAGGGCTGGCTGGGTCACAAGGGTGCTACAGTGTGGAGGCTGCCTGATGCCACCACCTGG